AAAAGTTCAAAAGAAAGTCTGCGCATGCGTAATAATTTTATTGCGCTTTTTAGTTTGCGGGTATACAGACACAGACGTTTAATTTGTTTAGGAAGCATGCTCCTTTAACATTACCATTCGTTTATAAATAAGACAGTAAGGTCTACGCATGCGCTATGTATATTTGAAACACGATAATCAATAGCTATAGTTCGTCTCAAACTAAAGTTAACCTTAACATTTCTCATTAAGCATTTATAACGCACATCAATAATTATAGTATTATATACAGGGTGTTTTTTTGGGAGCTTTAGTTAAAAGTTTCTGGGAAAGTAAAATAGGTAGGTTTTTGAAAATTTGTACTTAGGAGTTACTCTGAAGGCTGAATCGATGTAAAATATTTTCAAAATGGCCACACTTCCGGAAACACCGGAAGTAGATAGTAACTTCGTTATTTTAAATGGCAACCCCTATTTTTTATTGCATTTTTGGATTCTACGTGAAATTTCACTTTTTTTGATACCCATATGTCGATATCTGCCATTTATGGTTTTTAAGTTATTTTGACTTAAGAAAAAAAATGGCGGATGCAGATGGTACCTTCATAATTGATTACTTGAAAACGGTTGTAGTCATGGCAACCTATTTTTATCAGTGCATAGAGAATGAATAGGGCTTTCTTTTAGTGCACTTAAAAAAAAGTTAAGTTGCGTACGACCGCCCCTATGAATATCCAAATTTATGAAACTTCAAAGACTAAAAACTCAGTTTTTTTAAATGGAATGACCATGTTCTTACTATTCCATGAGATAGAGAATCGAAATGGGCATATTTTGACAATACATGTTCCTATAGTTATCTGTAACAATTTCTGACTTATTCCCATTTTATTGAATTGACACTATTTTTTTCGGATTTTCTTTTTAGTAGTCGGCCATGATTCTATAACAATTGAATTTTAAACAAATCTAGTGACACTAATCCATCACCCACTGTTATAGGTTAACATAAGTTTTTCAAAATTCGAAAAATGACTCGCAGTGGTTTCACCTATTTTGGAATTTAATTGTTATTTATGGTGAAATGGGCAGAATCGCGGCGCGTGCTTTCCGTACATTCACTCAAAAACTGGAACGAAATTGTATGAATTTTGGAAATTTTGTCCCCCTAATGCACTACAAACCGTTGAAGCACAAGTGATACAAAGCTCTACAAGAGAATATTTAAGAAAATGAATTGAATTGCAAATGCAAGATTAACATATTAAATTCAATGCAAAATATAAAAAAACTTCGTTGAAACATTTTTGGTATGGAATTGTTGCTAGAACAGATATCACATTACCTCTCTTAATTTCCAGACTTGTTTAAGAAATTCAGTTGAACGACTCTGTTTAGATTTTTCAAAAATTTTCCGTCCTATATCCTTAATAAATGAGTTATTTATTAATGAATTATTTAGACTAGAACTAGAATCAATGGTATTAAAGAATCCATTCCTTGATTTGTTTAAAATTCGATTGTTATAAAATCATGGCCAACTACTAAAAAGAAAATGCGAAAAAAATTGCATCAATTCCGAGATCAATTCAATGGAATGGGAATAAATCAGAAACTGTTAAAGATAGCTATAGGAACATGTATAGTCAAAATATGCCAATTTCGATTCTCTATCTCATGCAATATTAAGAACATGGTCATTCCATTTAAAAAAACTGAGTTTATAGACTTTGAAGTTTCTTAAATTTGGATCTCCATAGGTGCGGTTGTATGCAACTTAACTTTGTTTTAAGTGCACTAAAAGAAAGCCCTATTCATTCTCTATTCACTGATAAAAATAGGTTGCCATGACTAGAACCGTTTTCAAGTAATCAATTATCAAGGTACCATCTGCATCCGCCATTTTTTTTCTTAAAGTCAAAATAACTTAAAAACCATAAATGGCAGATATCGACATATGGGTATCAAAAGAACTGAAATTTCACATAGAATCCAAAAATGCAATAAAAAATAGGGGTTGCCATTTAAAATAACGAAGTTACTATCTACTTCCGGTGTTTCCGGAAGTGCGGCCATTTTGAAAATATTTTACATCGATTCGGCCTTCAGAGTAACTCCTAAGTACAAATTTTCAAAAACCTACCTATTTTACTTTCCCAGAAACTTTTAACTAAAGCTCCCAAAAAAACACCCTGTATACATCAATCTACAAAAAGCACCCGTAATGCAAAGGTAAAACCAGTTCCGTCAGGCGAAGGTCGCTTAACACTAAATTATACGTAAACGAAATTAATAGATCAATAAGCGTAGAAACCGCTTCGAGTCTATTAATTTCATTTTTATCCTATACAAGGAGAAACTTACATTTTCTCGCCTGTGTGAGGACGCGAAAGAAGACAATTGCACGCATGGAGCGAGAAAATTCAATTTTGTCGGCTAGGCGAGAAAAAAAATACGCCTTATGTAAGCTAGATGGCGCGGTTGTAATAAAATGTGTAAAGTCACTAGATATAGAAAGTACCGCAATCATCCGCCATTTTTGGGCAAATTTGCTGCCAACTTAAAAAAATTGACAAATAAAATCTTAATAGCTGTCATTTTTTATAACCTAACTTCATAGTACTGTCATGTTTTATAAAAATATATACAGATATCTCCAAACAGGTGGAACAAACCCTAACATTAAAGTTACTAGAATCCGGTAACTTCCGCCATTTTTGGGCAAAAATCATGCGTTCTCTCTCTAACACACGAACCCAATGGATTGCGGTACTTTCTATATTTAGTGACTTTAAAAATGTGAAAGAAGTTATTTCTTTTTAGTTAAATAAGAAACATAAAATCGTTAACACTGATTTAATAATTAAATTTACCTTATGTTCACTTTATTTTACTGAATTCAAAAATTTATTTAATTACCGCGAACCTATCTATCCATGTTTCGTGAATTTGAATACTTTCCCAATATCACGTGACCAATTCAAACGTTTCAAACTTAAGTAATCTCCCATTTACTTTCAATAACGAGCATCTGTGTCAATACATTTAACACCAAGATGTACTTTGCACTGTAAGTAGAACACCGCTTATCCGCAATAAGTAGCATTTTAACATACGAGACTACCCCAAAGTTAAAATGTGTCCAGTGTGACTGTAAGGAATGAATAAATCTATTTATAAAACACATTTTTTTAACATACAAGATCATCAAGGATTTAAAGTGTGCCCATTGCGCGTTTATCACCACTCACCACGCATAAATCCAGTCCAGTCTTAAAAGCATCTAACATTTGACAAGACATGGATCCTGCCAAGGATTTAAAATGTAACCGGTGTGATTTTGTCTCTGAAAACACACATTCAATTTTAAAACACATTTGTTAATACACAAGAACAGTAACAATTTCAAATGCGCCTGGTATTAATTACAACCTCTTAAATCCCGTTACTTTCTAAGGAAATAATCACGCGCCAGTGAACTTACTGCCGGGAATGTCAACTCTACACTTGCATCTCTGTTGCATCGTGACTCCCTTCGGTGAGCTCCGCACTGTGCAACCGCAAGCGCGCTAGAATTTGAATTTGCGTTGAACTGTATTATAAGGGAAAGGGGTAAATCTACGAGTAAAAAATATACTCGTGGGTCCACTTAGATTGCACAGTTTCGTAAAATTTTTTTCGCGTAGTCAGCAGGAAACGTGGAAATAAACAAAACAAACGCTTGCGCATTGCCGCGTTAAAGCAAATTCAAATGCAAGCGCTTGCGGTTGGACGTTGTTGAGGGATTAATTTTAAATGTAAGTGTATAGGATAAAAAATATTGTGTGCACCACGGCACGAAAGTTGTTTTCCGGGCCTCAGGAAGTGGCCAGCCTCGGCTTCGCCTCGCCTGGCCAGATCTTCCTTCGCCCCGGAAAACAACCACTTTCCCGCCTTGGTACACAAAGTACTATTCCTTCCAGCATAGCGAAAAAAATAGGGGCATAGCTGTTAATAAAAAGATCTGATAGTGACACAGTGGTAACTAAATAAAGAAATTTGATATTATAATTAAAGTTTGAAAATTATACAATCAAGTTTTTGAAATAAATTATCATTTAACAGAATCATAGAGTAAATAATTTATTTACTCTATGACTGAACTGAAGTATGAGGCCTTTAATTGGTTAGATAATTTTAGCGCCTAAATGCATTTATATAATTTGTAAGTCGTGTGCCAATGTATGAATAATATTAGGTGTAGATATATACCCGTGGTAGCACGGAGGACAACCACTAAAGCTATCTGGGTGAGGGAATCTAACCATCACCTAGTGGATTTTTAAATTTTTTTTTACATCCATTTGGGATAGGGAGGGACTACCGCATTGTATTTGAAACGGAAAGGGAGTCCCAACAGATTTTAACAGATGGATCCAATAATATTGAAGATAAGGCATGCATTGCAGAGGCTAAGAAATAATGGAAATGGAAAGGAATTTTGGTGTATGTACCTACATATATTAGTTCATTTTCGAACACCCCCGACTTTCACAGGAGCTTGGTGACCCAATACATTACAATTCTTTTTCTGTAGAAAGGTTATCTGAATCTTTGTAAACGATTACATACTTTTTGATTTTGTTGAAGAAACTCCATAGGAATTGAGGAAATGTTGCACCACTGAGTGAGAGCGCTATCCAATTGTTGCAATTAAAATTTACCTCTATGTAAAACAAGTAGGTATTGGTAATTTATGAGTCACTTGTGTCATTTTAATATGAAGGTTTTACTTTTAGTATTGCATGCAATGAGTAATGAGTTTAAATTAACACTTTATTTAATTTTCTGTATACACTTCACAGTTCATTGAACAATAACCATGTTCTTGAAAATTCTTTCTTTGTTTAAAGGACTTAATTATGGATTGTGGTTATGGATCATCACATAACGATTGCATTTTTTATTATGTTAGTTACATAACCTTCAACAAAACACCTTGCTAATGCCGGCCAGCAAGTGCACAGGCAATATATATATACATGAATAAAAAACAACATTTATTAATAAATAAGGTTCACACACATATTTTGTATAATATTCTATTTACATTGGATTTACCTAAACTAAAAACATATCCATTTAGTCTTACATTAAGTAGGTAGGTATTAAGCATTTACATGCATTTACGTAAACAGTGCTACCAATTAGGCAATAAACAATGAGTGTGTAATAACAATAATAAATACTGTAGCACCGTTTGGACTTATTGCACATTTTTAAATATACATTACAATTAGAGTTCGTCTAACATTTGCAGTACCACGTCTACCGCGTTGATAGTTGTTTCAAAAGAAAGAATGCAATGCTTGTGGCCTTCCCGCGCCTGAAACAAATAGGGCGTGATGGTATTAGTAATTCATACAGATAGATACTTATTATATATTCAATACATAGGCACATATATGAAGCAATAATGAATTCAGTTCAAAAAATTACAATTAGGTAGATACATACACAGTAAAAAATAATACCTTTTTAATGCACTTAATCGGTGTACCCATGCGGGACCCACGTAAACTTTTCTGCGCTATTTAGATACTATTATTATCAGGTAATTTCGAAATTTAAGAATGAAATGAAATGTTGATCAAGAGTTTCAGTTACCATTATTTAGGTCGTATAACATATAGGTACTTATTTATACGTTAAAGGAGATGTGGGTAAGTAGGTTTTAATTTTTTAACCTATGGAAGCGAATCGTATAGTAGGTTACTAATTGATCAAAAGTGACCATATTGCACAAAGATACATGCAAATTTTTGTTTCGGCCTTAAATGGGAAAAGTATACGTCTATCACGTCAAACACGTGGCGCATGGTGCACTTGAAAGTAATATAATTAGAGACAATTAGTTTTTTTCTTTTTCGAACCTAATGCGTTTTCCATATGCTAAAAAAATGTTATGAAATTTACAAACGAGTTAATATAAAAAAACGTTGTGAAAGTTGAATTAAACTTTCGCTACTTCTTAGCGTCCGTATATTATAAATTCAAGTTCAAAGTTAATAGAAATACTTTGTCCCTGAATTACTTTAACGTAATGCCTTGCCTTCTTTGCTAAAGCGCTATTTTAGTTCAAATTTGTAATTACGAAGTGAAACCATTAATTTACCACAACACAGAAGTCGAAGAATGATTGATCAAATGCCTGTTCCTGATTAGTTATAACCCATACTCGAGCGTCTTTGTGTTTGGTAGGTAGTTTGAGATTGTACTTATAACTTGTAGTAAGTAAAAGGGCTTTGTGTCGTTGTGTGGTTAATCAAGCCGTTAGAAACTTGTGAATTAAATCACCGCTTTGAGCAAAGACCGCGTCCGCCTTTGTCTTACTTGTCGTATACATTGAATGACCGACCGCCTTTGAACAATGCAGAATAGAAATTTATCAAGATAATAATGCCGATCTTGAGTTTACTATATTATAGTATGCAATGACATATAATAGCGAAAAGGTAATTTAGGTAATTTTCTTTACTTTACAAGGTCTCATTTAATAATAAGCTTACGAAAACACGTAATGCTACCGTTTCTTGTATAGTGGGTATATAATTTAGATTAATGAATGATTAAATGCGAATCAATTTTTTGTAGTTGTAGTACAAACAGATATCTACACCTACATGGCCACGTAATTATCGCCGTCCTTAAGCAGGACAAAATTGGAAAGGCATCTCGACACGCATTTTAATTTTTTTTTTTTTTTATTGTCTCTCTTGTTCTGGACCCTCAACAGGCTTTCGGTCAATTACAGAGTGCTCCCCAGAATGCCTTTTGGAGGTGCTCTGCAGAAGGTCTTAAGTTGTTCTACGATCCTCCGGTATTTTCCTTACGAATTAGGAAAACTTCAGGAAAACCTAATTTGGAGTAACCGGCAGAATGCTCGAAACTGATCTACTTAAGGACATTCCCATCTCTGCCACAGATCAAAAATTCTTATCTCATCAGCCCACGTGCGAACACCCGACCTCAAGCTACGTAACACAACACTCTACCACTGAGTTACACAATCTACTTATACCCATCAGGAATAGGACGCATCTGAGATTATATCAGCAGAGATCTCCTCCAGAATCTAGAAACTCCTTTCCCAAGATCCTGCCCAAGATTTAAATTGGAGTTGTAGGTAGTACGCTGAATTTAGGTTCCTTGGACTTCGTCAGTGTTCTCCAATGTTACGATAAAATTGATTTTGGATTGTTTTACGACATATGTACCTAACCTACTATAGTATTTTGGCACCTGTGAAACCAATGGCTGTCTGTCTAATGGGTAATGGGTAATGAGTTATTTTGAAGAAAAGATTATTTTTTGCAAAATGCTCTTTGCACGTCAAGCTCAATTTTTTCAAAGGTTTCGACCGGTCAAACTTCTTGAACGTTTAGTACCTACGTACAATAAAGTGAACTATAAAGTGGTAACGATTATTTTCAATCGGGATGATAATTAGAGATGATTTTTTCGCCTAAACAATAGAGACCAACATTATTTTCGTCATAACTGGCGTAGTTTCTATAATGTAAGTTTTTTTGATTTTTTAGTTATTTGGGCGAATACTTTCCGGGTCAGACCGTGGCTAGATGAGTACATGTGAAATTTAGAAGCACCATCTTTTCGCGACATAAGTCGAAATTAATGGTATGTACAATACGTCATCGTTATGATGAATTGGATCCGTTTCGTTATCAGATTATTACACCGTAGGTATAGAAGCTGCCGAGTCCGTGAGAAATGTCCACTAGGTCAGTAGAGGGTTCTGGCAAATTGCGTTTTTAAAGATCAGGTATTTTTTTAGTTGAAGATAGTACACTACTGTGCCAGGTAATGAGGCATTCAGCGTCGAGTCACGAAAGCGCTAAGTTGGAAGCGCGACAAAAACGATAATTAGGCGTTACACCATGCGAGCAACGCACTTAAATAAAATCGGCCGACAGTAAAGATCTTAGGCGAGGGTAGTAATTAAACCGCGGTGTGATTAACTCGAAATAGTGCATCAGTTAAGATAAAAAAGGGAAATCGCTGTAAAACGATTCAGAAATTTCTAGGCTTAAGGTTGTGAAGCGGGGTGGAAATTGTTATTGTTTAACAAGGTGGTAAACCGGTAAAATAAAGAGGTAGGCACTACGCTAGGCGGTATACGACTATACGAGTCTATAATGGGATCTTGAGTTAATAAAGGTGAAATTAGTAAATATGTATATGAAAGTAGGTTTTGGATTTTTAGCCTTGGGCTAGACACACACATACACACCCATCTGTACACAGATCACGGACAAATCTCAATTTTCGAACCTTAAAAAGTTGATTTTTTCAAGTCTCCTAAGAAAATTATGCATATATTACGGTCACAATTTTAGAGAATCTTAAAGAAAACGAAAACCATAACAGATAGGTATAGGGAATGTAATAATTGATCGATGTAGAATTTTTTTTCCACATTTGAAAGTGCAAAGAAATAAAGCAGGTTCCATTTGAAAAAATCTTTTTTTTTAAGCTTCGAAGGTATTAAACTTGACCATTAATTTTAAAACATCCTGTAGAAAGGCGATCAAAATTTAAATCATTCGCATGTAGCATCACGTCAGTATTGTTAATTTTGGACGACTTTTTGAAATTCAAGGCAACGGAGCCATCGGTACAAGGCGCGAAAGAAAAGCAGTCCAACCAAAGTGTAACTTTGGTCAAACGTCAAAAATTTTGAAAAAAGGTATATGGAAATGTGGTATCAAACGACCAAAAAAGTTGTTATCCACTTCCGGTACAACCAGAAGTGAAACGATCATGATAATATTTTCTTTCGATAGAGGATAAAAAACTATGTTGGTATGTACATTTGCAGATTTAAATTAATGAGAGTCTGAATACTTTTAGATAACGGTTTGTGTGAAACAGCCTGTATATAATACCTAATATGTAGGTATATACTGAAAACAATGGATCGGCACATGTAAGTATATTATATGCATGCATACCAAGCAGAGTTGGACTGGGTCAAGCATAGAGTGACCCAGTGACCCGGTGACCCAGTTAGTTTACTGACCCAGTGACCCGGTGACCCAGTTGACCCGGTGACCCAGCTTGACCCGGTGACCCAGCTTGACCCGGTGACCCAGCTTGACCCGGTGACCCAGCTTGACCCAGTGACCCATCTTGACCCAGCTTTACTCAGTGACCCGTCTTGACCCGGTGGCCCAGTAATTAAATTATTGTTAGGTATCATCCAAAACAATTTCAAGTAACTTTTAATTTAAAAAAAAACTTCCTCAATAATATTCGGCAACAAGCACGTAGCCCAATTTCATTCAAGAGAACTAATACCTAAAAAAATCAAATGCATTTGTTTATAGTTTGTAGTCAAGTAGTCAATGAAAGTATTTAGAGAAAAGATTTATTTGGATTAAGCTAACTAGTAGAAAAAAATTAAATGTGAATGAACACCTGTAAGCAAACTGGTAAGCCCTGAAGCAAAGAAATAACATTATTCTAATACAATTCGGGACATGGAAAGTTTTTTACGGCAGTATTAAAGCAAACATCACAGAAATGGCAGTTGTCAAGCAATCGAGTATTATTTTCAACAAACCAGCATTTCATTTATTTCATAATCTGTACACTTGAACCGAGGGCACTGACTTAACTGCGTTATTCGATCAAACTAGGTGACTGGGTCGAATTGGGTCCCCGGGTGAAATTGGGTCGCTGGGTCAAACTGGGTCACTGGGTCAAATTGGGTCAAACTGGGTCACTGGGTCTAACTGAAAAGGGTATGACGTGACCCAGCGACCCAGTGACCCAGTTTAATTTAGTGACCCAGGTGACCCAGTTGACCCAGTGACCCAGTCCAACTCTGATACCAAGATGTGCCTAACTGCAAAACCGGCTGTGGATGACCAAACGAATCGATTGGAATGTACTAGTTTATGTGATCAGTGTCAAGAAACAAATTGGGAAAATAGTCCGCAGCGAATACAAGATGAAGAAATCGAAAGTAGGTACAGAATCCGATGAATATTAAGATGAATTTGTGAAAACAACAGTCAAATAATTTAAATTTTTGTTCAATAATGGAGAATGACTCATACGTTGAAAAATAACTATTTCTGTTCCTGTAAGTCTAATGTGTAATCAAGTTTTCTCTAATGTATAATAGATAATACCTATCATCATTTTATTAATACACAAAAATAAAATAAAAAATAACCATAGACTACTTCATTATTTTCAAAATGGTGGCAATTTTAATATTTTAAAACTAAATAGCTAAATAGTTAATGGCCCCCATAAAAAAAAACGGTCATTTTTAAGCATTTTTGCCAAATTTCCTTGATATAACAAAGTTACTCATTTTTAAATGAAAAAGATCAATTTCAGCCGCCATCTTGAATGTTGACTGATTTTGTGAGGCGGGATTAATGGGCCGGGATTTTGAATATGTTAAAATAGACACTTTTCACAAAAAATGCAAAAAGAATAATTTGTGGGCAAGTTTGCTCAGGTCAAAGGAATTTTTACACAATTTTGACTGTACGCGCTTGCTTCAGGTTTAATCGACTTTAAACATAGGTTGTGCAAAAAAAATTACAATTACGCAAAAGCACACACAAATTTTTTTGGGGATGCCAACAGTTTGCGTTCAAGGTACGAGAGCTATCCTTGCAGTCACTTTTTTTTAAGAATTCCGATGGCTCGGTAACTAATTCTCGGGCCATTTTGTTAGAGTGGAAAAAATAATATGTTTATGTTTGTTTATGAATATCGTTATTTTGTTTGCAAATCGACAACTACAAGTTTTCGTGTAAATCTGTACGAAAATCCAACCCTACCCACCGCACCGCGGTAATTTATGTCAATTTTTAGCCAAGAACTCACGACAGTGGAGCGCTTATGTCCTCACTTTTCCGTCTGTCTATCCGTCGTTTTGCGCTATAACTCACTCCCTGGACCCTATATCGATTTCGAGTTTTTGCTGTGTGAAAGCGGTCAACATCGTTATTTACCTAGGCATCAATTTTGTTAGAAAAATACAAAACTTATTCCTTGATTCCCAAGAATCCTGCATATGCATTTTGCTGCCAAAAATATTTTTAGTCAAAAGATGTCAAAATCTATATTTATGGACCAATTTTCTCGGGAAAATATCAAACTCGATTGCTCGATGCCCAAGTAATGATCTATATGAATGTTTGCTGACCAAAATATTTTTAACCAAAGGACTAGATATAAACATATCTACTTTAAAGGTAGTCTGTCGGTCTGCCTACGTGAATGTGCTATTGCGCTGGCCCACGTAGTAGTGGTTTTTGGTTTACTTGTTTTGTACTTTATTACATAAATAAACGACTGGCTTCAATGCAATAAATTAAAACATAACGTCAGCAAAACTCAAAAAATTAATTTTACCGCCACCAGACCTATTTGTACCAGAAACTCGGTCAAATTGCTAGGTATTACATTAGACAATGAACTCAATTGGGAGACTCACGTGGACAGATTATGCACGACATTATCTTCCAACATTTATTTGTTATTAAAATTACGACAATCTGTAAATGTTCATGTACCTACTCATATCAAGCTACTACGCTTTCATTCACTCCAGAATTAGCTACGGGATAACTGTATGGGGCAGATCTCCTCATTCTGAAAGAGTCTTTAGAATTCAAAAAAAAAGCTGTGCGGATTATTGCCAGTATTGGAAATAGAGATCATTGCAGAGATGTGTTTAAACATTTTAAAATAATGCCATTACCATGCATATATATTTATAACACATTAGTTGATATCCATAAATTAACAATCTCTAAAGGAGAAGTATCAGATAGGAGCCATCCACAATTACAACACTCGCCATTGTCAATTGTTATTGCCCCCAAAATTTAAGCTATGTGTGTCCGACAGAAACTCACTGAATGTAAAACTCTACAACAAATTGGATAGTCAATTAAAACTAATGTCATTGCCTAAATTTAAAATTAATGTTAAAAAACTCTTGTTGCAAAATTGTTTTTACAGTATCGCAGAATATTTGAATACTCCTTAATGCACGCGAATCTAGTCTTGTAGTTCCTAACATACTGTGATATTTTTAATGTGTGAAATATTTATATATACCTATACTCGTTTATATCTCATATACCATTTTGACGTGACAAACAATGTAAATTGAATAGGTCCAATAAACATTATTATTATTATTATTATTATTATTATTACATGTAGCCTTTGCAAAATAGGTACATTTATAAAATGGATAGCTTGTTTTTCTTGTCTAAATGTTAAAATTTTTGGCAGTGAACTCTCAAACTTTCCATCAAAATCAAAATCCGTCATGCGTCATACTTTCACGTTTGTTTCGTGTGGGCTGAATGCTTTATTATTTCGAAATTTTTCTTTGTATATTCTTTAATATATTATTTAGTGTTAAAGTATTCTCAACACTTAAAACACTTTCGTCGCTAAATGTCATAACCTATTTCAATTCTTAGATTCAAAATCAAACCTCTGTACTAATTGGTACCTAAATTATTCCATAAACCAATATAAAAAAAAATGCTACCAAAACGACACAATCATTATGATAAAATAACAAGCCCGTAATAATTTTAATCGTAAATTATACATAACATCTTTCACAGCATGAGATCGCTGTAAGCTATGAAGTCGTAATACCGATATAAAAAATTCAGCTGATGCCGTAAAAATAGAAAGACAAAGATAGCTATTATATTTCAATATTGTACTTTTAAATAATGTAAAAAAGCAACATTTCGAAAGGTGCCTTTCTCTATCTGTTAATTACGATAATTCGCCATTCAAAAATTGTTTTATGTAAAGGGAAAGACATAACCATATGATATATTACGCACTTAACATCTAACGCAATGCCATAGATGTAAGAATTTACTTGTTATTTAAGTTTCTAAATAATGATGATAAGTTACGCTAGGTAGACGGAAGGAGTCAAACAAGTGTTAACGAAAGAAGCAGCATTTTTGTATTTTTCTTGTGGTATTTGACGACGAATTTGTTTGGGAGTAGATTAAATTTAATTGTAGATCATTTTGGAAACAGTTAAGGTTTCATTTTAAATTTAAGGGTTTTGTAATTCGGTGTTTACGAACCTAGTAACTTTTGCGTTTCATTTTACTTTGGGCAAGTCGAGTAGTAATTTGTAATAGTTATGTATTATACAAAACGATAAAGGGATATTTTAACCATTGAGTGAATTACCTTTCACGAGATTGTTAGTTTCCCTTTATCGTCGTGTATAATACAAAACTTTATTTTATATCAGAAGCCATATAAATCATTGTAAAGCTTCTGACAATTCTGAATTTAATTTAGAGACGTCAAAAATAGCAAGCTTAGGTTCTGCCGTCGCGATCGTTGCTATAGAAACAGAATTGTCATATGTTCTGGACGTCATTTTATATCGTGCATTTGAAATAAGAATGGCAGATGGCATTAGAATGCACACTCATTTGTTTCACTTTATCTACCCTTGCGGTTAAAGGGATCACTTTATCCTTTATCTATCCTTACGTGTAAAGAACGGCTTAGTCTACTCATTCAAACCTATTAAAATGTCATTTTAACATACCTACCTATGCTACAAAATAAAATAATTTTTCTAAAGTGTTTGTTAAATTAAGGAAAGTACATTTTGTTAAAATCCTGGTGTTATTATTTTACATTTCTGTGGATCATAATTCATACTGGGCATCCAGGTAAGTTAGGTTTAGGAGTCAAAGAATACACGTGTAGTGCCGTTCTTAAGAGGTAAGAGATCACAATTAGCATTCATCTTCGGGACGTCTTTAAACAGGTCACAAAATACGTATGTAGTGAGAAACCACGAGAAGAAAAATATAGTACCTAGGTAAGATCATTTGCGTGCAAGAATTAGGGTGAAGTTTCAAAGTAATTGATGTGAATATTGAGCAGACATGTTTGATCTACATTTGATGGAGGAAAGGCAAATAAGTGCTAAATAGTAAATAGGGGTGAAACCTTCACGTGCTTGAAATAAAACAAGATGGGTGCGCGTATTAATTGAATAAAGTTCTTATCTTAAAGGTTTTAAAACACTCTACAAGTTACAGGCTTATAAACAAAGGAGTAAGGACGCGAGTGCTATTAGATTATGGAAAAAAAATGCTACACCTGCCTGAATTTCTTCGCAAGGTCAAGTTATTGCCTTTGTTAAAAAGAATCAAACTCGGAATCAAACGTGTAAATTGGACATTCACGATTTTCTTTTCTGTACTTACTCCATTTACCTCTGGACTCTGATGTGTGTTTCCCCCAAGTTGCTTAAGATCTCGAGTTGAAGTATTACTTATGTTCTTTGACACCATTAATAAAATTTATAGAAATCTACTTACTTTGGCCTGGTGGAACAAATCCATATCCAGATGCCCCTGGGATGACCCCGCTCGTTTCGCCACTATCAGGAGGTGCCGGAGGGAAAACGACCGGTCCAGTATTTTGTCTAGGATCTCTAAGACCTAGTGACGCATCTAATCCTCCAGCGAACGCCTGATGAAATCCATAACCTCCGAAACTTTGACTTTTACCCAAAGTCAAAAATAGGCAGAGGCTTAACGAGGCGATTACCTAAAAAGATATCGCTATATTCAATTGATGTTATCAAATGCATAATGACTGTAACTAAGGCCGTCGTAAAGTGCTAGTCGGAGAAATTTATTAATTCGAAATAAAATGGTCGATAGAATTTACAGCGAGATAAACATCAAAAGTGTCAATTACCGGTGAAGAAAATTCACGTGTTACCCAATTATGCAATTTCAAAATAATAAGAATCAGGCAAAAGTGAAACTATTTCTAATTTATCTTTGCAATCGAAGTTTGAGTGCTAAATACCCTTGCCATGGCAAATATGTCTTTGCATTTCATTAGTGTAGGTACCTACGTAAGCGCACCTTCACATTTGTTATTGTATACTTAGTTTTAGGATAAACAGTGCGTTACTTAAGAGAGAAAACTATTCAAAATGGATGCGGGACTGTGGAACGTACCATTTCGTGAATACTAAAACAGCTGCTGAAATAATATAAATTATCAAATTACCCCGAAATATGTACCTTCTTTTACTTGCAACAATTACAATGACATTACTTTAGGTTAACATTACTGGATTGGATTGTCTCATTTAATGTACGGCGAATTTCGTCACCTACAACAACAAAAGATTGTAAATTACCCAATACCCAGCTCTTGTCGCTTTAATGAAGAGAAGGGTATTGCGTTTAATGTTAAATTGGCTTCGAAGGGCAAGGTCAAGTTTACTTATTTGTGTTCTTGGTTTTCATTTTTTGTTTGTTTTAAAAATATGTTGTCTATTAATTAATTATAAAATACCGTAGGTATATGTGAAATAAATTCCATGAACCTATACGAAAGTGAGCATACCGTAACACAATGTTTCATATCCAATAATGCGTGCCATCTTAAACTGGATTGAATGAAAGTGTAATAATGCGCAGATATTGAAACAGATTAACTGTATAGTCGGTGAAATTGTTGAACGGTAGCAGGTTCAATTATTATAAGGACAATTACTACGTTTACGCCGTAACTTTCGATCGAATGTAGGAACCCGCTACGTTAAATAAAACCTACCTACTTTTGTGTGTAATCTCACGCAGATTTACTTTTCAATCACTAAAATATTCCAAGTAGGATTCGCTTATTATATCTGAACTTTTCTTGGGTGCTGTTTAGACATTATACGACTTTCAAGTTTCATTTACATCTTAACAGTAAATGTTGGCGAATTTAGCTGACAGTGATGTCTAAAAATTTGACATCAAATTCAATTCTATTATGCCATCTGAGTTCTGACGCACTATTCCGAAGTACTTAGATGCGTTGACCTCAATCTCCTACGTTTGTCGGATTGAATTGAAGATTGTATCCGATCGAATTTTAACCTTGCAACGTTTATGCCACATATTTCAACCAGATCTGCAAAAACCGGATAGAAATCCACTAAGTATAGCAATGCATTAAATTCAATTATTGAAACACCTTTGAAAACACGAACTTATAAATTAAGATGGACTGCTAATGCTGAATTAACAAATGCCTCTACATGGGGGCCACCATAATGTGCACTTACTTGGCGCGAAATTCAAATCAACTAATAAACAAGCATTAACCCAACATTAACCTCACGTTTTCTAAATAACTTCCTGTGACACATGTCATTTTCCAAGGCTGCAATAGTCTCAAAACTTGAGCACTAGGAAAATTCTCCTAGAAAATAACTAAAATGTGCACATCATGGCGGCGCCCATGCTAGGGCCATTTCTACCTCTATGCAACTGTTTGATCAGCAGTCCATCTTAATTTATAAGTTCGTGTTTGAAAACCTTTTAAAATTAAAGAAAATTGTGGGGACCGTATTTAAACATCTCTTGCTTGGTTCGCTTGTTTCTTTGAAAATGGGGTCATCCCGCCTTCATTTTTTATTTCTGATCCACAAAGTACATTAAAAATAAAAAGACCCGTGTGTCCTCAATTTTTATTTGCGAGTAAAATAAACCCAAATAAATTATTGAAAAGCTGTGTTTTTAGTCCGAATTTGAAACGCTTCAGACTAAATACGTCACAAACCTACAACCAATCACGTAGAAGTGAGCTGGCAACCTTACGCGGGGGTCTGACGTTTGACACATTTGACGTTTTGAGAGGGATGTTCAACTGCATCTAGCACGAAAGTGACAAGTGCCTGTGACAGATGACGCAAGTTATAAATGCCATTCTCATGCAATATTGCCAAGTCGTTATGTCATCTGAATGGTTCTAGGAGCTGATTGGTCGGCCTTATTACGTCACAGAGCCCGCCACAATCATATCGTTTTGAATAAACCTTTAAAACCGCACATGTTCATTATTTTTTTGCTAATCAGCCTCTATTTTTAAATAAACTTTTACTGTCCAAAAAAAATGTTTTATGGTTTCAGGTACACGCTTATTAAATTAGAACTGCGGAATTCAACTATACTGTAAACCCCCATGTAAATCGCATAGGGGCATTTTATAGGTACTTTTTTGCGATTAATACACTCCATTAATACACGACCAATCAGCTTGGTGATTGTTTCAAATTCTAACCAATCAGATGATTTTTTATCTGATTAAACGCTAGGTAGCTTTTTAGCAGCGATAAAAATGCACGTAAGAATGCGTAAAATAGGTAGGTATATTAGTGGTTGTAAAATTTACTTTTATTAATTTCCCTAAAATACACTCGATCTTGGTTTTAAATCAGGATAAATTTATTTTTAATTCACTCAAATTTTGTTGCCTCCTGCAACAAAACTTTCGTGTAAAGATAAAATTATCCGATTAAAAATCAAGCTCTTGTGTATTTACCCTCGAATAATGCACTAGGTAGTCAAGCAATAAAAAAATAATTGCATTATCGATGATTTCATTTTTAATGTTCGATTTAATGATATGTCGTATAATCAAATGATTATCATAGATTGGTTGGTTAATGGATTAACCTTTTTGACAGCACTTGGTACAAACAAATATTTTGCAGGGGGCATATATTAAATTAAAGCTGCATGGATTGGTTGCGTTCCGAAAATTGCAATCCTTTTTAGAAGAATTTTCGAAGTAAATTCCCCTTATGTGATGGTCCATCTGTCTGTCCCCCAAATGTTAATATACCTTTCTCAACAAGCATGCAATTGTTGCTTCAAAATTTTACTCTCTAACGCGTTGTTTGCGTTTTGTGCGTCCGTCTGTCCGGTCGGACTCACTTCTCCGGCTTTGAACTACTTTTAGGAGAATTGTTTGCATTGCATGGCTTTAGTTGTTCAAAGTAAAACTTTAAGAAGAAGGGGGTGGGGGTAAACACACGTTATTCCATGGTATTCTAATAAAAGTTCTCATCCAAAGGAATTAATTTCCTCCGCGACTCAATGAGTGAGTGGGGGAGGGGAAGAGGTATTAAGAGATTAGTTTTATCTTTCATGGTATTCTAATTAAGGGTCTGAACGAAAGGAATTAATTTGTTCCAACCACAATCCTCCTCATCGTGATTGGTTATAATTCCACATAACACAAGGGAGGAGAGTACTGACAAAGGTAAAATCGTCTGGACGAAATATATCTATTGGTTAGGTCGAAACGAATATCTCGAAAAGGAAGTGTTGGAAGAGAGTACTCATAAAGGGCAAATGGAACGACTGGACAAGATATTTCTATTGATGATGTCAAAACTTTCAGTGCAAGTAGGTATCTGGATAACAGAGTGTCGGCGCCTGTCTTATATCCTTAAGAACAGCTGTTTCAATTTTTAAAGCAATCGGACTTTTCTATACAAAGTTATTCAGTTATGAGTTATCGTGCACACGGGCAGACGAACAGAAAGACGGGCAGATAGACAGCAATATAAATTTATAAACAATCTCGAGGATCGTTAATAATGAGAAATACAACTGAAAATGAACTAATTCGTATAGGTATCATTAAAAGAAAAAAATCTTCTTTCGATTGGTGTCATTATAAACCCGCTAAGACTTAAATTATCATGGGGAGCAACGATCTGCAAAAAACCTATGTTCGTTTTTGAAATATTTTTATTTTATGCCCGTGTATACCTAATAATTTAGAGGTACTTTTAGCAGAGCAGTGCAGTAGCTGCGCTCGGAAAATCGTACCTTCCAGCGTGTCTACCGAGACCTTAGCAATATGACGCGATCGGTAGACCAATTTTTTTGGTTTCTTATGACAGCAACTTTTCCCAACAAAAATTTCATCTTTGTAGAAAGAAGTTCAATCGAATAATTTTTTATGCATCTTGCGTGGGTGATATTCTTGCGATAGCAACGCTTCCAGCTCGGTGTACTATTACCACATATTTTTAGGTATACTTAATTACTGTACAAACTTTCATTCTTATAGAAATGAGGCATGTACACTACATATTATTTATTAACATGTTCAGAACATTGTTGCAAATTTAGGCAACACCGCCAACGCGGTAGACTACCGTTATCAGCTTTGTACAAATGAGTACACAAAAAATGTCGCTGCCTCCTGGACTATGAAGCTATGAACTCATTTTTAAAGCTAGCCCCCATGCATTCCTGTATATAGGCAAGCAAAGTGGTCTTTATTTTCAATTGTTTATTCATTTATTGGTTAACATTTGGAAACATTGAAAGTGAGTTTGTGAGTGCCAACTGCCAATCCATTTTTTGCCTCCCCGGCCTAAACTAGAATTATTATCCGTAGTTCTAATTTGATAAGCGTAGGTATACCTCAAACCATAAAATAATTTTTGGACAGTAAAAGTTTATTTAAAAAAAGTGGCTGATGAGAAACAAAATAATGAAAATGTGCTGTATCCTTTGAATATTATATTCAAAGGCTGTATCCTTAAACCATATAGTACATGGACTGCTATTAGTTAGCCCTATGCTTTCAATACAAAATGGGTGGTCACGGATAGAGGGCACTGTAGTCGTGGGTATGTGAATCTCAGGGTAAACTAAAGTCGTATGAACACCACTCGCATCGCGTAAAGAGTAGCTTTTAGCTTTTATGGTAACCGCATAGTACTGGAAGCTTTAAAT